TAATTAAAAAAAAAAGGAAAGAATATAAAATATCCCCAATAGCTTCTCACTATGATGATATATTGAAACATTGTTTGGGATATATTGTGTTAAATAAACTGCCTTATTAAAATTTAAAAAAAAATTCACATTCAAATCTTAATTATGAATTTGTTTTTCATTATCATTATCATTTAGCTCCACAGGTTTTAGGTTTCCCCTGGGTACAACTGTACTCCAAGTCCAATGTTAGCACTGAATGCCTAATAACAGTTTAGAAACCAAAAGTCAAATAATGACAATTTCATATGATTCCACCTATGACTTCATGCCAGAGAGCTCTAAGTTATGGGAGGAGGTGACAACTTCTAAGGAAGCTTCTACCTTCAGAGTAACAACTTCTCCCGGAAGTGTACAGAGAATACTTCCTGCAGCTGGACTCATTTTATTTGAGATACTTTCATTGAATGGAAAATAGGAAAACTTGCCTCTCTTTTCCTAGTTATGAATGGACCACCAAGGCAAAAACCCTGGATCTTGATTTTACAGCCCAATTGTAGCCCAAGTGCCTACCTTAGCATTTTAAGGTTCTAAAGTCAATGCTGACTTTCATAGAAATACATAAGGCAAATCTGATGTAAGATGATTATATAAATGATTAGAATGAAGTTATGATATGCAAGTGACTATTTCCCACCAACTTTAAATGTAGCCTTCAATTATTTCCCCATACTGAATAACAGTATCTCTCAGTTTACTGAAATAGCTACAAAAAACACTTAAGGTCAATTATTAACCACTCATTCTTCTGCTACATCAATTCCTGATTTCTTTTTCTCTCCTAATTTCCATGTCTGAATCAATAAGTTTCTGTCTTTTTTTCTCCAAATTTCTATTGATAAATGGGTTTACATACTTTGATTGGCCTCCAACAAAATTACATTTTAGCCCCACCTAAATCCTTGAGGCTGCTTCTAATATCTGAGTCGTTAAACCACTCACTGAATGGTTAAAATATGCCAGGCCCTGCATGAGGCAATTAGGGAATGAGGGAGAGGAAGAAAGAGAGAATAGGAGGAGGTTATAAAGCGAGAAGAGTGAAGAAGGGAAGGAAGTGTGAAAGGGAGAAGAGAGAAGAGGAATGAAGTGGGACCCCAGATTTTAAGCCAAATTGGTCTTGCCATGAGTGCTTCTCTGTACCTCGAAAGGTCTTGACCTTGAACAGCTTACGAATATTGCCCGTGCCGTCATCCCTCCTGACCCAGACGACGAGTCTATCTGAAGAATTTCCTGTCATTTTATAGAAAAACTGCAGGCACTGCTGCTTCCTCTTTGGGTAAAGAATCCGAGACTCCAGCAGGGCTGCTTCTTCCACTTTCCCTGAGCTGGTGTTGAAGTACATGGCGTAGCCGGCACCTGTGGAAAGAGGGCCCCAAAGTCCCATCTCTTGCACTCCACACCCCAAGGCCCCCTCTACCCAGAAAAGTGAAATAGTAAACATGGTCATCGTCCAGGCAACAAAAGCTAGAACACTTTTGGGAGAAACAAAAAGGAGGTTCCCAGTAAATTTTCTGTCTTTGTCAACGTGCAGACTCACTGGCTGAGTGAGTCACACTCGCAGTGTGTCAATATCTGTTTTGAGTGTCTTTGGTTTTGTAACTATTTCAAAGAAATTCAAGCTTTAAGTCAAGTTTAAGGGGAGTTAGTGTCTGTGACAGGATTCTCTTCCTCATTGACTTTACCGCTTCAAGTAGCTCATTCCAAGGGCAAGTGTTGAACATTTAGTTGTATAAGAAATTGTCAGGTTCAAAGGTCCAGGGATTAAATATTCATGGTGATAAGATTCAATTTCACCTGCTTCTAGCCTGACAACCGGGTGTGTTTTCAGTTTTCATTGTTATAAGAAGGGGCATTCAAGCCAAGTGAGGGATTAATTAAGGATTTCTCTTGACTAAAGGACAGTTTTGAAAAAAAAGAGGACCCAAAAGTCTCTCCATTTATGCAAGAGCTAGGATTTGCGCAAAGCAGATATCTCAAAACAGCTGGGTGGCTGGCCAAATTCCTTAAGAAACTAGTGCACTTTTCAAAGTCAATTTCAATGAACAATTCCTGCTTATCACGAGTAATTGAAGCTAACTTGGGTATTAAGCCTCTCATCAAATGCTCCACTGCTGCTAATGTAGTTCTAGCTACTCTGGCACAGGTTGTGTTTCATCTGCTCACACATGGAGCGTGTTCGCTTTCTACTGGCAGAAACAATAATACTAAGTAAGCTTTCCACAAAGCTTAATCATATTGCAATCACTCTAATATTACATCCAGGAAAATTCTATTTTCTTGAAATTTTTTCTCAAACTTGAATTAGTAGCCTGAGTTCTCTACATGATGAATTACTGAGTGCTTGAGTTAAAGAAAAAAAGAGCTGACATGGTTAAGAAGATCTCCAGGTGGTCCTTACTCAGGAATATCCATGTAGGTGTACGAAGAAGTGGGAAATTAAAGTCAAATAAATAACTCAGACCTGGGAGTTGGGAATCTGGCTTTTTGCCCCCTATTCACCACGAGGTGTTCATTCATTCCTCTGGATTCCAGTAGAAAGTGGTTTCTACCTCCATAGCATCATTTGAGTTCTTAAAGTCTATGCATCTCCCTGAACATCACCTTGCTCTTATGCAGAGCAAGCTCTCTGTGGTAGAAGCATGGAGGGTGGTCAAAAAAGAGAAATGGCTGACTGATAAAGATTTTCTGGAAATTTTTTCTGGGGTGTAGTCATTTCCTTTCCTATTGAGGTGTCAGGACATTCTTGCAGTAGGTGCCTCTCATATGAAGAACAACTTTCTATTTAGCTGGATATTAGATCATAGCCTAGCAATAAGCTCACAAGAGACAGGATAAGAGGTTATGATGGAAATTTAAGGGAAAACTTCAGACTTAGATCATCCTTTGGACACTTGAGATTATGTGTTTAATAATCTATTATGTGACTTTTATATTTTGCCAAGACTGGAGGAAGAGGTTGATGACCTCCAGGTTTCTCTCTGGTGGCCTGGCACCTGGTTCATTCTGGGAAAGAAATTTAACCAAACCCCACACAGTCTTAGGCTAAGGAACTTCACAATAGTCCAGTTTTTAAAAAGCTATTAAAATCTATAACCACACTTGCTTCTAAGTAGTGCTGAGTTGATTGCCATGACAGGTACATTCTAAGAGTATGCTGAAACATAGAGAATAAAGGAAACTCTGGCAAGAAAGAAAATAAGAATCAGAGGTAAAGCTGCTGGGTTTGCAGTAGACACTCTGAATTTATTATCTTCTTTCATGTTCACTATGAAGTAAGTATCAGTATCTTGATGGTCAGAAAGGCTTACAAAGGCATATACTAAAAAGCAACCATAAAAACAACGCCCCATGGCCAGATTTAGCAAGTGATGGACACACGTCAGCCCTAGTTCTGTTTGACTTTATAGCTTTTTGCAGGGTAGAAAATACTTTTCAACCTATTATATATCTCGAGTTTTACAGTGATGCACCTTTCAAAAAACAAAGAAAGAAAGCAGAAGGCAGAGGATTACAGCTCCATATATATGAAGTTGTACCATATCAACAAGGCAGCTACCAAATGTAAGTGGCTGTTGGACATTTGACTTGTCCAAACTATGACATGCTTTAAGGGTAAAATATACACTGGATTTCAAATATGTGGTTTGCATAAGTGGGGGATATTTCATTAATAATTTTTGTATTGATTATATCTTTAAATGAGAATATTTTAAACACATTGGTTTAAATTGTTAAAGAGAATGCCCCTCGTTTCCCGTTTTATGTGGCTATACAAAATTGTATGCTACATAGGAGTCTTGCATTCTAGTTTTATTGGAGAGCACTACTTATTTACAAAGTCATACCTTATCAACCTTATATCCTATCAGCCATATGTCTATATAATTATTGTGTGGCTTAAGCAAAACTTCTCTTGCATTACTGGAGTTTGAATATTTTTTATTGTGTTCATAAATAAGATATGAGAGATGTCCTTTGTCCTTGTTCAGATTACCACTTTTGATAGATAATATTCCAATCAAAGCAGAGCATGCTGACTGTCATTTCTAACTGAACATGGCGAATTATCTCAACATGTGAACTTTCTACTTTACCAACCTGAGCAATGTCCTGTCAAGGTGTGATCTTCTTGTCCTGGCTGAGAGCTGTCCTGGTGGACCCAGTCAGCATCATCTCTCGTACCCTGAATCATTCCACAGATATTTGTCTTCTCAAAGGCACAGTGGTCCAAAAAGGTATGAGTTGATGCTACAAAAAATAGTTTTGCCACCTGGGTAAAATTTTAAGTCATTTCATTTCAAATAGTTAATGTCCTAGGCCATTAAGGCTTAATTTCAGAGATAGCAGGATAATGAACATTTTATTTCTTTGGTGTTTTCTTAATGCAAATCTTACTGTTATCTCTAAGATCTTAGAATTTGTCAATACAAATGCAGCCCTATCCACTTCACAGCATCAAATGATAGAAAGTTCTATCAACATGTTTTTCTATGGAAAGTGCAGTCATCAACTCCTTTTGATCAAGAACCTGTAATACTGGGCTTTGTACTTAGTTTGTTTTCTCTACATACCCAGAGCATATCCAGAGTGAAATCAAGAGTTTCTGAAGACTAGTGGGGTCATCTTAGAAAATACCCCAACATCCCAGAGCATTAGGTTGCTCTAGGAACAGTTACCTGTAAGGATTTTTGCAAGATACAAAATACTTTCAAGCCTATCATCTATCTTGAGATTTATAGTAATGCACCTGCATCTTTCAAAAAACAGCAGAAGCTAAACAAATACAGCTTCTTACATTGGCCCAATACGTTGAATTTACAAACACAACTACATCATTGATTTTCATTACCATCTTGTGAGGTACCAAATTAAGGTAGTTTGGTATTTTCATGAACTACATCATGAAAGAGTAAAGGAAAGTAGACAGGAAACTTGCAGAGTGAGAAAATGTCCACTGGGACTCTCACCCAGACCTCAGACCCAGAGGTACTCACTGCAATTGTACATTCGATTCAGCCTCTCCAAATCAATAGCACTGAAGTCCAGACGCTGCCCAATGATGGCATTAAACTCAGGGATTTTGGTCGTGATAGTAGGAGCACTTTCATTCTTGTTAAATGAGAAAGGAGCATAGTGCATTACAGACTCGTAGTCATAGGGTGTGTTGAGGTCAGTGATGAACTTGTCATCATAAACGTTAAAATTGTGTTCGAAACCTGTCAGGGAGAGAATCACAGACCCCGTTCAATTATATATTTTCCCCCATCCTACCATCTTTGATTAGCTACTCAAGGAGAAAAAAAGAGGAGAGGATCATGTGTATAGACAATTGGTAGACTATAAGTAAAGTTAACATACCATGAATACTAATATATCATTATCAATACAACATTAATATAATGAATAATTCCACATAATCTTATAATAACCAATATAAAACAGGTTTTAATACATATATATGATATGTAAAGATATATATATATCACAAATCATTATAATTAATTGAAATAAAAAGATTCATTTTATATTAGTTTGAATGGATATAGATGAGGCTTTCAGAAAAAGAAGATTATGTACCAAAGTAAATGGAGCCTCCCTAGTGGTGTAGGGGTAAATCTAGAGATATCATTGCTACTGGTTGAGTTCAACCACCGGCCAGTGAGGTGACCCACATGGCTCAGTAGACCTCTCCTGACCCGCCCGCTGCTCCCCTCAGCAGTGCATTTCAGTAGATCTGTCTGTTCTGCTCCCCACTGTTCTGGTAAATCCTCTTATTTTCTGCACCTCTGACCTCTGGCCTGTACCCTAGTTCTTCTATGCAAAATAAATAAATAAATAAATAAAATGGATAAACATAAAAATGAGGCAGGTGTTCCAAATGGCAGGATTGGGACTTTTAAAATTAGGAAAATGTTCAGTTTTGATCCATTTTGCTAGTAGTCAAGTATGTCAGCCATCAAGAATTCCTGCTGATTCTTGCGGTATTTTAAGCAAGCCACTTGCAACTTACCGGATGTGACTGCCTTAACTTTGGATAAAATCACCAGGTTAGCCCCTTTCGTGTAAAGTATGGAACAGAAAATATTTTTGACTGTGAAAGCCACTTGGCCTGTTTCAATCACCTAACTGTCCCACTACAGCACAAAAATAGCCAAAGACAATATGGAAACAGATGGACATGGCTATGTTCCCATTAAACTTTATTTACCAAAACAAGTGGCTATCACCACTGGCTGCAGTTTTCAGACTCTTACTAGATCTCCAAAGTTGAAATTTTTCCTTAGTGGAAGAGAACAGATTCAGAACACTTAACTGACTTAACACAGAGATGGATTTGAGGAGAGAACTGTAATGATGGTACAAGATGTTCTTAGGTTGTACAACAAAACTGTTATCGACTGAAAAAGAGATGCAATAAAAGTCGTAAATGACCAAGAGAAATAATATTGCCCTTTTATTTTTTTACAATGTACTGGAATTGATGGCTTATTTAAGAACAACTCTCCAATTACAGCAGGCAATTTAGATAGGTGAGTTACAAATACCTTAGCTTTTGTCACTCATGGGTATCATGTTTTTGTTTGTTTTTTTGCACATTAGGAAACAGTTTGATAAACAATTTTTTAGTGTACTGAAAAGCACTTAATTGTTGCAAATAATTAAGGACGGTAAAATCATTTTCTATGTGGAAGGAAGTTTAACAAAAGTAAAAACGATCAAACTTGTGAAGATAACGAACTACATCACAACATGTGAATAAAAACTGTGGTGTCCTTCACAGAGGATGAACTGAGTACAGGGAAAAAAAACAGTTCATAGAAGGGAAGAAGAAAAGACCAGCACATTTTGATTAGCCAGAACTCAGACAATTAGGTAGACCCAAAACAAGGAGTACAATTGCAGACAAAAGAACACATTCTCATTTTTGTTGCTGTTTTGTCCTTAAAACAGCTATCATTATTTTGTTAAGTGCAAAATATTTTTGAGTGTATTTTAGAGTCATTATATAGTCATTTAAACTTCATGTAGTCTCCTATAAGGACAGGAAATGTCACATCCAGAAAAATAACTCTAATATCTTCAGAGACCTAATTTAATTTACTCATTAAGGTAGGAAGATAGCATTTTTGATAGGTTTGAACAAAAGCACTGTGATAAAACAACTCTGCTAATTAACTTTTAGTTGTTCAGTTTCACGTTGAGCCACTCAACTTAAATCACCTCTAAGACTTTTTGCTGGACTAGATTATGATCATACCAGCAAAGTTCACATTTGGCCACAGGAGAGAACAACAAATTCTGCCCTTGATGTGTTTTGTGTTTCCATGGGAGTAGCTAAAGTTTCCCTTAAAGATGGAATTGCCCTGTTCAGTCCAGAGCTGGTCTCAGCAAATGATAAAGATAATAGGAAATTCCTATTATCCACATAATTAATCAGCATTTATTTTCTTCTCACTGCAATTTTTTTGTGCACTTTTTCTTAAGAGGCTAAATCATGTGGCTACCCCCTTTTTATTTCTGGAGACTTACACACCTGGACGAACTTCATTCCACCAAATGTTCACATAATCATCTCGGTCAGTCCTTGACTGTTCATGGTAAAACCCCAGGGCGTGCAGGAGCTCATGTTCTACGATGGCCTTATAGTCACAGCCCAGGCCAATGGAAAGGTTCTGTCCGACATGTTGGTCACCAACTTCAGACCAGCACCTTCAAAGAAGAAAAGAGGGAAATTTTCTCTGAGAGAACTCCGAAATGGCTATAATTCATAAAATTCTAGAACACAAAGTAAATAAGGTACTAAACATTTATCTAAGAAGTCAGCTTTGTTTTTTCTTTTCACCCTTTTTTTCTGACTGATAAAACTCCCCTCCCTCAGAACTCAAGGACTCAATCTATTCAATAGGTACCACTGAGAGGCGGGGACAGGGAATGCATATGCCGAAACAATCTTCAGAAAGAGTTAAAGTCACAAGCATAGTCAAGCCAGGTGGTTTTAGTTCCCAACCTCTTCTAATGAACTTAGCTAAACATCCCTGAAGGAAAAAGTTCTTCTTTCTTGATATACCATATGTTTCTACTCTGAATTGACTATAAAAGAGCAAATCTAGATCAAGAGCTTTTCAAAGAAGTCTAGTCAACAGAGTACTGCAATTTTAAATAGCACCAGGAAACAGGCTGCAATTTAAACTTCAACGAATATGAGCATATATATATATGTCTGTATACACACATACAGACATATATATACATATATATATACACATATATACACACACTATAATTTAAAACATCCAATACTGAGAAAAGAATTGAAAGAATTGAGATAAATCTCCTTGGAGTACAGAGGTCCCAAACAACTCATTCTCTACATAATTTGTTAAAAATGTTGTGTAACGGGCCCTCCCTGGTGGCGCAGCGGGTTAAAGCACTGCACTGAGAAGCTTAAGCCACTTCCCTATGAGTTCGATCCCTGCCTGCCCGGGAGGAGATCCACATGGCGAGGCAGAGGCAGACCTCTCCTGACCCGCCTGCTG